CCAAAACAAGCATAGTTTTATTAGATTTCTGCACCGAGTGATTAGAGGGAAATGTGCACAAGCTTGTTGTGTGCTGAGGCTGCATTACTCTCGCTGGTGTAACAGCCAGCTGGTAGGGGTTTAGTGTTAAGCTGTTTCTTGTTTCCATGCCAGCTCGCCCATCCTCGTGCCAGGACTATTGATGCAAACTAACGCTACTGCCAAACACTTTCTTTTTCTTCCTTTGCCACCTCACCTCTAGACTCAGTAACATGTCCATGTAACAAGGACTTTTCTAACTGGGCACTAAGCTTTGAATGCATGAGTTTTGGCAATTAAAAAAAGGCATTCCCACATTTAAAACAGACACTATTCAGACAGCTGCGTGCACAATGAACAGTCAGGCTTGACACAAACATCTTAAACAGCCAGACGCAGGTGATTTAACAAACTCTTCTGTCTGTATGTTGCTTCAGAGCGCAGATGGAGACGCCCAAACCCTTACCGAGGTTGATCTGTTTATCTCCACCCAGAGGATCAAAGTCCTCAACGCAGACTCACAGGTAAGTGCTCCATGTTTCTGTTAAAAGTATGATTTTTCACCTGTGAGAACAAAAGCTGTTTTCCCAGAAACTATGAGTCAACGCCTCAGGGGAATGATGTTATGTCATAATTGTCAAAACAACAGCTTAACTGCTGACACCAGCTGCATCCTACAGCTGCCCCAGCTCTGATTGTTGTTTGTTTAATCTCATGACGTCACTCTGTGAATTCTTTTTGACCGTGGCTAAAAATAGATTCTGCAAAGCCAAAAGAACAAAAAAATGGTGCAGGATCATCTGTGCAGCACTGCCTTTACTTTAATGTCACAACAAAGTGGTCCTTTAGAAGTTCGGACCCCAGACTTAATGGATGCACACAGCAAAGTTAATGGCACAATGATGAATAGTATTAGCTGTACAGAAAAGGCAAGAAGCACATAAACAGAGCATCCTAAACACAACAAAACTACAGTGACTAGGAAGAGATCTCAGGTTTGTTGTTTAGCACTCAATAAAAGAATTAACATTACCAAGCTCACCTTTTTTGACTTCAGTGTGGCTACATAGTACAAGGATTCAAAGGTTAACTAAAGATAAATGTAAAAATTAAGTGTAAAAATCGCAAAATCAGTGATACAACAAATGACCATGTAGCAAGTAATTCAATCAGTGTTAGCTAGGTAGTGTGCTAGCAAACTGTTGCTATATATGCTTCTGTAGAGCTAACACGTGCCAACACACCAGCTCCACAAAGCAAAATAAAGCCTTCATAAGACACAATGCAGTCCTGTGAAAAACTGAGTACGGTGTTATTCCCTCCATAGCCAGGTCCCAATAGTCAAATGGGCTTGATCGATTGATCATCAGTAAGTTTGATCACCTCTATAAAGGCTAAAGTGTTGGCAGTTTGTGAGTCTTGCTCATTGAGATTGGGATGCATGGTAACACAAAAAGCCAAACATTCTTCCCAGGAGTGGATTATAAGGCTTTTCAAACAATTTAGTCCATCATTCTACACTAACAAAGATTACATGGAAAACATACATACATACACACTTGTCCCAGCAAATTCACATGAAGTTCAGACCTGGAATGCTCAGAGAAATTGCAATAAACACAAGAGTAACATGTTAAGGACCCTAAAAGCCTGAGATAGCAAGTGAAATGTTAAAGTTCATAGCAGTAAAATTAGAAAAAGACTGAACAAATATAGGTTATTTGGAAGGGTTGCTAGCAGAAAGCAACTTCTCTCTAAAAACAACATGGCAGCACAATGTAGGGTTGCAAAGTTGTATCTGAACAAATCACAAGTCCTCTAGAACAATTTCCTGTGAATAGACAGCACCAAAACTGAGACGTTTGGTCATAATGCACAGCACCGCATTTGGTGATAACCTATAATAGCAGGTCAGCATAAGCACGTCATATCAACGGTCAAGCACAGTGGTGAATGGGTGATGATTCGAGCTTGTTTTGCAGCCAAACAACCTCCTGAACCTTCAACCATCAACTGCCGTGTATTATAAAGTATTCTAGAGTCAAATGTGAGGCCGTCTGTCCAACAGCTACAGCTTGGCCTAAACTGGGTTGTGCAACAGGACAATGACCCCAAGCACAGCAGCAAATCTACAACAGCATTGCTTGGAAAAAAAAAAGAAGAATCAAGTTGTCAAAGTCCAGACCTCAACTTGATTGAAATGCTGTGATGGGACCTTAAGAGAGCTTTCCATGAACAATACCCACAAACCTCACGCAACAGAAACAAAATTATAAAAGAAAGGGACAAAATTCCTCCACATTGATGTGAGAGACTGATAATGTCATACAGAAAACAAATACTTGAGATTATTGCTACTACAGCTAAAGCAAATAAGTCATGTCATACTACCCCTCCAGTTTTTTGGTGGAGGGTACAAAAAACATTTTTTGCAGGACTGTATATATTTCAAAAGTATTTTTCTTTTCTGTGGAACACAGAAAATTTCATTTTCACCATCCATCAAGAAGAAGCTCTTATCCTCATACATTTAAGCTCTGAGGCCTCTGCACTTGAAAGCCTCACAGATGGTGAAGCAGCTCTTTATCCTTTTCCAATCATAGCCCTTCTTTCTCAGTTTTGATTCTTCTGACCTTTTCCTCTTTGGCTGTTTCTCCGCCATCTCACCTTCTTGACAATGTGATTATGTTCAGCTGTCCCTCTTGTTCTGCTCCTTTCCCCCATCCTGTCTCCCTCTGACTTGTTTACAAGCACAAACATGCCCAGTTGTTAGTTGTGTTTTGTCCATAACTGACATTTAGTAGATAAGTGTATTAAATCAGGAAGAGTTATTCCACCTCCAACCTTCAAAAATGCCTAAAGTTATAATATAGACTAAATTTTCTTAAATCATCAATCCCTCTGAAACTGGACAAAAAGTCAAAAATTCACCTGGAAGTCTGATTTTATCTGTCGTATTTCTCCACGTTCAAGTTTTTACATGAAACCCCGTCTCTGCACGCTTACAGAAACTTGCCTTTTAGCTTTACAGCAAGCTGTGTTGTGAAGCAGCCACACTAGTCTTCACAGGAGGTGTAGTGCTTTGATGGAAGCGCTACACTTCCGAGAGATTTGCTGTGCTACAGATCATGAATAGAGCCTTGTGCTCACAGTAACAGTTAAATGTATATGCGATAGATGATTCATTGGCAGTATTTCAGGCTTAGCTGCTGCCTGGCCATCTGAGCAGTGTCAGAATTGAGTGTGTTTGTG